ATTATGTTTTTTGTGCCATAAGAGTTTACCAGAATTGCGACCTTATTGAAACGGAAGATCAATTCAGTTTGAGAAATAAGACAATCAACAGACTTTAAAACCACGATCAAAAGTTTACCTGTAAAAGAGGAACTATATTTTATCACTTCGAATTTCCTAAACCCCAATTCTGACTCGCTTTGTGCATTTTGCAGTTTTTTGTCAGTGGTTAGTACGATGAATTACACACTTTCTTCCATAAGTAAACAAATTTCCAAGCACACGGTCATTCGGGTGTTGGAAGGCATTTCGGGGATAAAGGACTTTGTAAAAGAGGCGACACCATCGGGGCACCAATGTTAAGCGTTGAAATCAATGTTTGTCCCCGTTCGCCCACTGACAGTCAGTCCTAGTTGACTGCAGAAAATGTTTGCCAGAAGACCGTATTTCCGGACACACAACCTGAGGCCGATAGGGAAGATGGATTTCGGCGGACTTCGCTTCGCCATAAATGGCGGCGACTTAAAAGCAATGCTCCGAGGAATGTGACAAGCACGACATACCTATTGGACTTCAACAACAACAACAACCATCGGATTAGCACGGAGGAATTTGCATAAGGGTTTTCCACAGGCGTGCTCAAACGAATTGCAGTAAACTGCATGAAAAGTTTGCTGAAGATCGACCGATTTAGCAAGAGAACGTATGATACAGTCTCCACAATTTAGTGAGTGCCACTGTACATCAAAATATTTCTAAAATCGTCAGTTACCATCTTACAGTAGGCGGACTAACTCATGAAATGTGAACCGAAATTCCGAAATGCGCTTGCGTTTCGAAAAGATTACTTAAATATGATTCAGTTACCTCAGGATGCCGGCTTTCGAACAAATTTCCATCTGGCTGCATACAAAAACTACACACTGTATAAAATGACTACTTTAGTGGCGTGCACCTTTCTCTTTGGTTTTCGATACACCTAAAAGTCCAATTATAGTTCATGGAAAACATATATAAAATATCCATTTTTTCACTCATTCGACATAAAAATACGTTTTCTTGCAATTTATACTCGACATAGGGACATAATTCGGTTTTAAAATGTTTCTTATTGTGAGACTTTTTAAAACTATGAAATGGCCGTCCAAAAAACGTCATGTCTCTGCATTTACCAATGTGGCTTGTAAAGTAAACAATATGGGTCAAATCAAATGCTAAATTTTATGAAGCTCATATTGATTCCTTTTGATACCCTAGAGGATTGTGCGGTTTTCCGTACGCGGAAAATACCCGGCTTGTAGTTTGAAAACCCCGAATGCAAGTTTGACAGTAGAGCGTTCGATGAACCAGTGACTATGCAAAACATTCAAGGAACCTCCTTCATATTTCGTGGGAGGAGGGACAGTTAAGCGAAGAATCTTTTAGCCCAATTTTGGTGTACCGAGTCGAAAATGGCCACTAACTTGATGGTGACCAGGCTATAAGGTCACCTATTGATTGCCTGAACGCCAATTAAAGCCGCCGAACCAACCCATCCCGGCATGAGAAAAAGCGACGCCCATCTGATTACAGAGTATAGCCCTGTGCCTCCAAGGTACCTCATTCTGATGCTAAAACTGGCGTGACCCTTCTTCCATCGCCTGTCGTGCAACTTATTGACTTGGACTGTGACGCCTACACTCTCCCCTACGACTGCACCACATACGCTAATCAGGCATCCGTGCCCTTATCGATCGTAGTGTGCTGTTCGCACTCATTGCTCCTTTACTTTATCAAATGAGCCACGGCCGATGACCCCTCGAGAAACAAAAACATCAGGTTTAGCCTTAAAGCAGAGACAGTGACATGTACGTAAATTAGTTTATAGTGATAGTGGGCTTGCACACACTACCGCACTCTCTCCTCCTCTCCGCCCTTCTGGACCTGGGGTCCAGACAGAGTCAAGAAAACCAGAGGCGGGGGAGGGAGCAGGTGGCTGGTACGGTTAAGTCTGCACCTTGGCGCTCCACACCCCCTGGTCCACATAGCAACAATAACAAGGGAGGGGGTTGATGACAGGAATCTCAGTATGCGTGACGTCTGTCGACAACCGGATCTGTCACCGCATGTCCCGAAATGTTGACATTTGTTCCCGTATGCAAATCCGATAATGCCTGCCAGAATCCGATATGACCCACGTATTGGTCCAGCGCATCTACCGCGTGGTCTGTCTGGGAGAGGCATGGCTACCAACAAATGGAGATAACGTGATCATCCTCTCAGGTCCAGTAGTCAGGTCGAAATGGCTTCTTCTCTGAGTGGCATCTCTGACCCTTCCGCCCAAGTGGGAACTGAGCCGCCCTTTGTTTGTACGGAACCCTGGTCCAGCATGTGCGGACCAGGCGGATGTGGCACGCGTAGGGGCCGTTTAGATGTGTTAGTCCCTGCGTCCGGCTTCGCATTCAGTTTCCTTAACTCTATCTCGACACCGGGCTCACGTGGAGGAGGGAGGAAAGTGTGCGACAGACGTGGTGCAAGTCTGATTTCACTATAAATTAATTTGCGCACACACTTGCGCAAATTCATTGCGACGCACAATAAACATTGGCGCCCGTGGCAGTCAAAATGCTGGATAAAACATTGTGTCGTAACTTGTCTTTGGGATCATTTTATAAAAATATATTTTTCTACTATTCCGTTCTCTTATAGGATGAATCGGTAAAAAGAATCTAAAATACAAGCAATAGTATGTTGTGGGCTGGTGTTGGCCGGGGATCACTGTTTTGTAATAATTACAGAATGCATTTTTGCAATCAGAAATTTTTCTATCACAAAAATGTAATTGTTAGTGCATCTTACATTCGAAATAAAACGTAATATTCCCTTAATCCATCTCTAGGTTTGGCAGAGGTCAAACTGCGAATCCGGAGGAAAAGTTTCAGTTTGGAGTTTAGGGGTCCACTGAGAGATTGTCGCAAATGCTAAAGATGCATTTTGATATCTCTATTGCCACTAGTCTCAACGGTTTTTTCAAGTTGTAGTAAATATTCGTTTATACACTGGTCTGGAGTATATGAAACTATCGTTTAAATCACTTTAAAAAGTAAACTTTAGTGTCAAAATACAGTGGCCGTCCACTCCACAGGAGTTGCTATTGTGATGTTTATTAAATAATTCCTGTTAAGTCTTCATCTGTTGAACAAACAGTCTCAGTTCTAGGCGGAACATGCATATCTGAAAAGGGATAAATAGACGGCATTTTGATTGATCCAGTAGGTTTTTATTCTTGCGCCCCTATTTACGCAGACATAACTCATTGCACTTCATCATGACATGATGCAAATTAACACAATAGTTTGTAATACATTTGCCGCCTCCGCAATTCCTAACGGCGCAAGGAGCGTGGGCCTGCGATAGGTGTTTACATAGACTGTGAACTGGATCTCGAGAGGACAAAATCATTTATTGGGCAATAATCGCGATAAAGACTTACTGGGTTATACCGCAGTGCTACTTACAATTTACATGAAAATCGACGTGTTCGAGGGGGTAAGCGACGTTTTCTATTCCCTAGATTTGGATGTGCGTAGGGATATTTTGCTTTAAGATCGGTAACGGAAAGCCGAAAAGCAAGTCAAAACTTAAGAATTAACTCACGCACAGAAATGTGACGCCTGCAAAGATTCTTAAGGTCGACATCTTAAGTTTCTCCCACCATCATCCCTCTGCGCTCTCCCAATGACGTTGATGTGATGGACATATGTGTCAGTGAGTTTTAGACAGTGCGTTACCAGCAGTGGTTTTCAATGTAGACGGAGGGTCTTAAACCGTGTTTACCATTTTCCGAATATGTCCAGTCTTCTACCAAAAGGAAAAAAAAGTGTTGGCGAGGTTGTCAGGCTGATTGATGTGCTTGCTTCTGGTTAATCATCTGGATACCGAACTGTGTTATGCATGTCAGAAGAATGGACTGTTTAATCAGCCTTCGTTAGTTCCACTGAGTATCAGTGTCTGTTCAAATTCTGTCATGTTTCTCTAAAAGCTCGTCCATAAAATTCATGGGCGACTGTACATGAATCAAGGTCCTGTTTCACTCCAACGTCTCAAGGACTGTTTCCTTCATCTTTATCTGTCAAGTTCTTATATTTTAAAAAAGCATTCTTTCTGCCGGCTTATGTTTGATGACCCAAGCATACTGGCTTTGCAGTTTCCTCAAACAGTCCAGACCCAAATTTGTAAAAGGAAGGTCCACGGTATGGGCATCGTAAATCAGACGAGAAGGGCGGCAGTTAACTTAAGACCCTGCCTCCTATGTCCTGAATTCGATTTCCACTAAGGTAACAAAGATCTACCCGACTAGATTAGTTGACATATACCCGGATCCTTCGGATTCTAATGAAGAAACCAACTGACACTCAATAACCATTGATCTGGAGATGGATCATGTTAAACATTTTGTATTCTTCCTTAAAATTTGGATAATAGTAAACGATACAAATAAACGCTCTTTTTGTTGGCTATTGTCAATGGCCGAAAATTGTGACATCGATTTTTGTACTCGTTGTGCAAGAATTTGGTCAAATATTTGCTTTCGAAAGGTGTTAATTTCTGCTAAAATTTTAGCCTTTTATTCTTAGACAGTCTACAATCAAGCTCATGAACTCTTGTCCATTAATGTCTTAAGATCGCTTATGAATTCGGTGGCATATGTGGTAAGAGATATGCCTCCTTTTATAATTTATGAAGGTTACTAGTTTTCAGATTTTGGATGTCTCATTTTCATAATCGGTTGTCACTAGGCCTGTTTATTTTGTCTCTCCATTTGAAAGGCCAAAATAAAAAATCTTTGTTTGTTAGTAAACGATTAACTAGAACACAAAAACACATAAAAACATTATCCAAATTTAAAATCGATTTCTGATTACACGTAAGGCTCTCAAAGATATGTTTTGTATACAAGCAAGTGGAGATGAAAACAAACTACGAATGCAGTAAAAGCTCATTCTAAATTGTGCTTTTTCGGCAAAAGATACGCCTGCTTGTCAAGTGCCCGACAGGGTGAGAGACATGTGCCGCCTTCTACGTCCTTTTGGGCTCCCAATGCCAGCTTCCACGCCCACCGGCAGACCGAGGGAATCCACTATTTGTCGGCGAGTATCATATGCTTTCGGGGGACACTGGCTGGCAGAGTCAAGTAAGGTCAGCGATCTTCCCCGCGTTCGGGTACCTGTAATGTTCCTCGGTATCTGTAACATCAAATAAAAGACAAAAATCATTCAAAACGCTCCATCACCTTAACGCATCGTGCTTTCATTTGATCCTACTCAAAAGACTACAAACACGGCTATCGTTATTGTACGCATAAAGTCTCCGACCGCATTGCAGTAGGTAGTCCGATGACTTATTTAACACCTACATTTTAGGCAAAACGAAATTATCAAAAGTGCTCGAACGTAAGGCAGTTCTGAAAAAGATTTTGAAGGAACTATAAACGCCCATCCACCAGTTTGTGAGGTCCATAAAACTGAGTAACGAGGATCCCGATGACCTTTGCGAGACAACAAGGACGTTGTGGGGTTTTCTCAGTAGCCTAACAATGCATGGGAATCTTTTCCCGTAGAACATACCATTATTCTACTTTATAAATAGAGAAAACGACCAATAAGCGAACACTACACTACATTTCTTGTCTGGGTAGTTTTCTAAATTGATACAGTAAGTGACTAAACTAATAATATTCAGATGGTCGGTCCGGGGTGAGTTGTGCTACGCGAGTCTTAGTTGCGTAAGAGATACTTATATGATCAAAGGTTGGTGCAGGAATTAGGTGAGGATAACCAAAATGGCTTCAAAACAAACAGAACAGGGCGTTTGCGTCAAAATGTAATCTTAGTAGTGCGTAAAGGGATGTGATCTTCTATTCACCCCCTGACTTAACTTTGGAAAAGTGGTAGAATGTAGACATTTATCTTATGAATGTCCCAGCAAGGCGCATTACAAGGAGGGACGTAATTAGAGAAGATTTTTTAAGGAATAAATGGGATGCTTTTCATCTGACTAATAGGGTATGTTTTGTTTGGATTGGCATAGTCAAACCGTCGTCGGCATCAATGGCGCGTTCGAGAACTCACTGTATAGGCTACAGTCTTCACAGACTGTCTTATTTTGAGTGGTTAGATAATTTAAACCTAAAAGCAGTCTTTTTCCGCAGTTGACTGTGTGCATTGAAGACCGAAGAAGAATTCGTTAACGTTTCAAGGACGCCCTAATTACCTTATCGTCGCCAGAGAAGACGCGATATGTTTCCGTAAAAAATTTTCTAATGAGAGAAAATGGTAAGCTTATGGTTGCATCTTCTGAATGTGTTTAAATTTTTTGGTCACCCGCCAACTTCTCGAAATACATCCATGTGCAAAACGTAATGGTCGCGATTATTCCATGAAAACGTATATGCAGTGTAGTACATATATATATGTATCAAAATGTTACAAAATTATTCTGAATAGCTTTAAAAGACGCGCATAAAAGAAAGCTAAAGTTAAAAGGAAACCTTCGTTCTCAGAAAATGAAGAAGGATTTGCTCCGTGAGCTTTGTGAAAAGAGTGATAGCACTGATAGAACAACGAATAGCAAATAAAATATTACATTAAATTAACAATTATTTGACAAGAGCAGTTTTTCTACACCACCTAAAAGTCTCCCACTCAGTTTTAATGGGGGATCCAAATGTGAATCCGGATTTCCAAGTGAATACAGTACATGCTTCACCAATTGTGCTTCATTTCTCATGAACAAAATCAGTAATGAAAAGCACATTAGCAAAACAAGCCTTGCATAATCGTGCCTAAGGACAACGATAATCATTTCATGAATTTGGTCCATTTCTATGGGAAACTGAGCTCAAAATTGAACAGGTTTTGTGCTATCTGTTTTTCAATGTTTTTCTCGATCGATATTTACGCTCCTTTCTTTACCCTGTTGTTGAATTAATAATTAAAACTGGAAAATTACTCTGCACTTACAGAAGGTGGGCTTACTCATGAATGTCAGACAAAACTCCGAAATGCGTTTTCGTTTCGAAAAGATTGATCAAATAGCGGTTGTAAAACTAATCAGCATACAGATTAATTCTATAATAATTCAGTTACCGCAGGATGCCGGCTTTCGAAAGAATTTCTTCTCGGCTGAATACAAAAACTATACTTTGCAAAAGGACTACTTAATTAACGTGTATTTTTCTCGTTGATTTCAGATGTCCCGAAAAGTCTGTTAAATTCCATGAAAAACACGAAAAACATTCTTTTGCTCATTGGGTAGAAAAACACGTCTTCTTTCGAGTTTATACTCAAAGGAACAGTATAATTCGATTTAAAAAGTTTCTAATTGTGATTTTTTTTCATTCCGTGAAATGGCCGTTCATACAACGTCGGCTCTGCATTTACCATTGCTGCTTATAAAGTTAACAATATGGCTTTAATCCACTGATAATTTTTATGAACACCATATGGTTTTCTCTTAATGCCATAGAAAAATTTATGATTTGCCTTACTGATAAAGCCTAGAGTTTTTAGTTTGGAAATCCTGAATGCAAGTGAAACGGTAGGTCGGTTTCAAAATTACTGAGTATACAACTGATTAGAGACATAATTTTCTACCGAATAAACAACACAATGAATATTCTTATGCATGTTATCCATGAAATATAACTGAATTTTTAAGAGCCTCGGAAGTAAGGGCTGACTGACAATATGTAATTTTACTTCACAAGAAGGTGCAATGCTATATCGAAATTATTTGAGGGACATTTTGTTGCTAACGTAGGGCAAACATTTTCGTACCTGGTATTCATTCAACCCGGGACTCGCTTCAATGACCGCTAAAAATGTGGAAATGAGAACGGTCGAATTATATTCTCAGAAAACTTCGATAACGTAGTAAACATTTGTCACAGAACAATGCCTAGCAAACCAACTACGACGATTAGTCAAGCATTCCATCCTCAGTATGTGTGCGGCGATTTACGTCAGGAAGAAGCCACATACTCGGCTCCAGCACAATGAATGATCTGATCTGTAAACATATTATCAGTTCTACTCTGCAATCTTAAAGTGCTGCATACTCGCCCGTCAATTCCGGCTGCTTAATTTGAAAATAAAATTAGAGGGATTAGATGAATGCCTGTCTTTCAGAAAACTGAGACTTCTATGATAAATCAAGGCTTAATATTCACCGACGAAAAGGTCGTAACAATTTATAAACCAATAAAGAAATTCTTGTGATGCGAACGTGACGTGGCGAAAACCGCTTTTTTACTTTAGCATGATGATGCTAGATAAAAATATGTTGACATTGGAAATTTGTTTAGTTAATTTATAAAATCCACAAAACTGTCTACTTGATTTTTGCTTAAGCAAAATCCAGAAACAGCAGGTATCCAGGTGCGCAAGTTTTGCATCTATTTCCAAATGTACACGATGTAGTGGAAGATAGTCGTTAAATCCGATTATCGAAACCCACTTAATGATAAATGGCATGCACAAAATCTCTTAAAGAAACAGAAGCATTTTTGAACTATTTCACTTGATAAAGTCAGGCCGGCCAAGTTCGGTGCCTAAATATTTTTGTTTATCTTTGATTCGTTAAAAACGAATATATCGAGAGTCTGCCTGAATCAAAAATGTGTAGCTTTGGCATAAAAAATCAGATAAAGACAGAAGTGGAGGGTTAGGTTGCCTCCAAGGAAATAAAAAAACAAACGTGACTTATAAACTTATGGTTTTTGTATTAACGGTATTTTGTGCCACGCATAGTTGTAGTAGGACTGACTGACAATACACTGTCTTACTTCACAAGCAACTGCAATGCTACGTCGAAAGCAGCTGAGAGACATTTTGTTGCGTTGAGGACCATGTTGGTCTCCGGGTCATCATACAAACAGAAAACCTTTTTCCAAAATTTATCACTCCACTGCAAGTACATGGAGGATGAATGCGTAAGCCACGAACAGGGCGGTCATGCGTCCCAGCACCTACGCCGGCCCACATAGTAAAGCCGGCATGCTGCGGACTTTGGGTTTAAAAGAGGAAGCTTTTGGGGTAGTGCGTGAGCGGTTTCCGTAGATAAAACACTCAGAGCACGCATTGCTTTCATTAGCGTGTTGGGATGGCTGACGACTACCACTTGGAGTCGGCCACGGAAGAGAGATCGCTTGTACCAACTTCTTTTGAATTCGTCAGCAGAACAGCCACTGCCTCCGCTGTTGCCGGAATTCGTTGGCGTAGGCCTTCAGAGTAGTGAGCTGATGCCCGGTAGGCACCTGAACGACTTATTTAACGTCAAATAGATGCACGGGGATAGACCTCGGAAGAGACTCACTTCTATTTGTACCTTGTCAAACACAACCAACATATCCTGCTCCACAGGAGCGCTTGGATGAGCAAATGAACATCGATATGGATTGTACATTTTATGGTTTTTCCTCCTAACCGTGGGAGGGGAGAGTTTGGAAAAAATACGCGTGAGTTTGTCAAGCAGAAAGCGCACGTGATGGCTATCTTTAGACGTCGTCTTGCTGCGTCCTCCTAGAAGAGGCAATCTTTAATAAGTCCCTCATTTCTGCAGTTGTAGCGGTCGGCTTTATGGCACGATGTCCACTTTTCTGCAAAATGAAGCTCTCTAAGCAACCGTTTTTGCGGAGTGTTTTATGCAGCTGCTGGAATTCTGCTTCAACACTTTCGGAAAAACAGGTGCGTCAGTCAGTCCTTAAACGAGACTTAGTTTTAGATTTAGAGGAACGAAACTGCGAAAATTAGAGCAGTGTCATGCTCAGGATATCTTCCGCAATACCCTGTGTTAGGTGGATGCATTCTCTCGTTTGCGCAGAAGGAAATTGAGGGAGGCGGTTTTGTTATCTACAGCAGGCTCTGCAGCAATCTTGAGCGATGGTGCGTTCTGTTAGACCTCTGACCCAGGGCGTTGATGTCGTCTACATACTGACCATGATATTCGAGGTTATTAATGGCATCCTTTAAGTCCGTTTTCTCGATCTGGCCTAAGAAGACGTCCGCGGTAAATTGTCTAAACGGCCAAATTATTGACACATCACCTGTCTCCTGGCCGTTGTATAGAAGCTTGAAATTTTTTGGGCAGCGGGTAAGTAGTTTTTCCTGGGTTTCCACTGTCTCGAATAATGTAACATAAGTAGTTTATTGTTACTACTATGGGTATATTTATAAACAGCGGTGAAATGATTTTGGCTCCTGCAGACGGCCTAGACCCTAATTCCATCGAAAAATGTGGTAAACGTAGTATGTTAACCGGCACAAGATTTAGCATATATCTTTCAGTCTTAAAATGCCGCGGTTGGTACATAATAGCTTTAATAAATAAAAGTAACGCGGACATTTGAATGCTGAACAGGCTAGGTAGTGATAAGGGAAAAATCGTAAACAGCCAGAATTTCTAGTTTTAAACATTGTTTCTTTTTTTCCGTTTTCACGTGCTGACCGTTATCATGCACTTTATGACAAGGCCTTATTTAATCACTTTGAAAACAATTTTGCGCCTATTGATGTAGATAGGCCTTTTGCATTTCGCACACATTAAATCACCACTTACGAAATGTGTCCATGCTTACTTTCATGGACTTTGTTTCCTTACTGTGTCAAGATATTTGTGGACATGGCGTTGACTGTTCCGTTTAACTAAAATTTTGTTTAAAACCTTAAAATATATCATGGTGTGCTTTTGTTTGAGAAAAATCAAGTCACACTCGTGGAGCTTCAGGTTGATGACAGCAACCCGTCGTTAGATGGAACGGATGACCAGAGGAACGTGTGGCTTCATGGAGGGTGTCGTAAGAGACGATTCATTCGACAATTAGGATATTTACTGTCATTCCTGGGATCACCTGCCCAAAACATCGCCAAGAAACCAAGCAGACATCTGGGACACTTAATGGCTAAATCGCAGACATCATCGGCAGCCTGCACATAGTCATTCCAAGAGTACAAAGCCCTAGATATATTCCTAATAGGTGCATTCTGTGCCATGTTGCAGTTGCAACGTTTCCATCAGCACAGAATCCATCGTAAAATGCTCCAACTTTGTCAGCATGTGCCGTGAAAGGATACGGAAACAAAAATGGGCTCAATTATATCCACACTGCCGACGGAGCTAATCACACGTTGCTTAGAAGGGGAGGTTGCCCGAAACATCCAACTGAAAATAGGGCTTTGCTACTTGGGTGCCACCTTTCGGACATAATAAATAAAGAAGTTAAATTGCTAAGTTTAGGGTCCGAACAGTAGCTTTGCAGTCACAAATTCAATTCGTGAAGAGGCAACGGTAGAAACCTCTCAATTTCTGGACTTGCCTACAAAAGCATTGAGTGACGATGACCTCGCGTGCATGCAGGGAAACCTCTAATGTGGATCTCAGCCCTAATTTACGAAAACAGCAACTTTCAGAATAGACTGTGTTCAGACTGTCCTACATCAAGTTATTCCTTGTCACAGCAAGGACTGTCTGCTTAAAAAAGAGCTGATCTATTTGCACCAGTTGTTTCGGTCTAACCAACAGGCCACCATCTTCGTGAGATATAGAGGTCGCAACAAGGCCCTAACCCCCATGGGGAATTCCCATAACAGAACTTATGCTATAGGGAGGTACGGTTGTACCGATAATGATAAGGCATACCAGAACGATCTTTTGTGACTTATTAGCCATCATCTGCTAGCCCTGCCTGGTCCGAGGTGTTAACGTGTCTGAGACTCAAATCCGGATTCTTTTGGTTATTGAAATCCTAGAAACAACTGGACGAGCATGTTCCGTAACCTGATCGATGGGGGCTCCTATACCAGAGAAAGTGTACTGCCCACATACATGTAAGGCACCTCTCAAGCACTGGCCTGGTCTCGTACAGGAGGCCATCGTCAGAGAATGTGAGAATGCGACATCAAATGAGCAGTTTTTGTAGTCAAGCCGTGAAGGGGGTGAGATATGAGGGCAGAGGGTGGTATTCGGGATAAGCTGAGTCCCACGCCGTCTCACGGCGGCGTGACTGCGTGCACCCTTGGCTGGGAATTGGACCTCGCCTCTTTGCCGCGGGAAGGGGGCGCGTGATAGCAGAAGGGATATATAACGTGCCTGTCGATAGAGTTGGTTTCAGACTGTCCCGCGCCATTATCCGCGCGCTCTCGAAGTTGAATTTGTGGCCTTCCTCCAGGGTGTGAGTGGCGACCTGAGTCAACGGGTCGCCTCTCCGAACTGCCCGTTTATGCTTCGTTACTTGTGAACTGAGCCGTCGTCCGGTCTGCCCGGTGTAATGGCGAGGGCAGTCCCGACATGGGATCTGATAAACGACATCCGATTATTCTCCCACGTCTAGCCGGTCCTTCACTCGCATGATTTTGTTGCGCGTGGTCGCGGTCGGATGGTGAGCGATACCCACAACAAGAACCTGAGATTCGCATATTCGCCTTCATCAATTTGAAGTCTTCGTAGCCCGCAAGTCAAAATCCTCTGGATTAAAGAATCGCACCATTAAGTGGCTGTACACGAAGTCATCAACCACGTGACCCAACGCTGATTTCCGCCGCGCGTAGGGTCGCTATGTTGGCCGGCACACAAAAACTTGCGGTAGTGCTTGTAAGCCGGTTGTACTTCGTATACGTTCAGGCTGCTGCATCGGTTAAAACTATATTGAAGTACTCGCAACCGCAAGCCCGAAAAAGGTGAAATTGCCTAGTGCGACTTGATACGCCGACAGGGTTGACATCAGCATCCGTGCCTACCCGAACGCTCGCTACGTCCCACTGCCCCCTCCCCTAATCCGAATTTTCCACCGCCTATTGTTTCATTAATGCGCTGTCCCCATTCTACTTCCAACACAGTAAGCCGTAATCGTGCAAGCCCTTCCTCCTTCCCAATCGGGTACTTACAGCAACATTCTGTTCACTTCTCTTACTAATGATTCTTCTGGTTATGCGACCTGCGTGATTCCGAACATTTCTCACCTTTCCTGCATCGATTTCGGGGAAAAAACGAGTTAGTACAATAAATTTTAAAATTAATGCGTATGCAGTGTCCTTCCCCGAAAAGCCTCTAATCCTCATTTTACGAGTTGGGGATGAACAGTAAGTGGGCTAACTCATGAACTGTCAACCGAAATTCCGAAATGCGTTCTCGTTTCAAAAAGATTAATTAAATAGCGTTGTTAAACTAATCACCTTGCAGCATAATTCTATAATAATTCAGTTACCTCTGCATGCCAGCTTTTGAATGAAGTCTCCTCCGGCGGCATGCAAAAATTATACCCTGAAGAAAATGATTACTTAAGTAGAATAAATTTTTTTCATTGATTTCCGATGCCTCTTAAAATCCAATTATAGTTCATGGAAAACATACATAAAAATATTCATTATTTTGCTCATTCGGTAGAAAATTACGTCTTATTTCAACATTACACTCGGAGAAAGGGTATAATTCGATCTTCAAAAACTTCCAATTCCCAAATAATTTTGAACCCGCTCTACCGTTACTCTTGGATTCTGGGTTTCCAAACTACAGGCTGTATATTTACTCACGTACGAAAAACCACACATTTCTGTACGACGACGAAGGTAGACTATATAGGGTTCATAAAATTTAGCAGTAGATTTGGTCCACATTGCTAATGTTACAAGCCACACTGTTTAATGAAGAAATATAAGTCACACAATTAGAAACTTTTTAAAATCGAATAATGTTTTCCCTTGAAGTAAAAGATAAAGAGAAAACGCAATTTTCTACCGAATATGCAAAAGAATGAATATTTTAATGCATCTTTTCCATGAAATATAATTAGACATTTAGAGGCATCAAAAATCAATGCGAAAAATTCATGCTCTTTAAGTGATCATTTTTTACGGGGTGCAGTCTTTGCGTGCAACCGCATGAGAGTTCATTCAAAAGCCGGCATCCTGACGTTATTTAAAAATTATAAAATTGTGTTCCAGGCTGACAAGTTTTAAAACCTTAATTAATCTTTTCGAACCGAAAGCGCATTTAGGAATTTCGGTTGACATTTCATGAGTTAGCCCACCTGCGGTATGCCGTTCAACTCGAACCTGTTTCAAGCCGCTGTAAAATACCTACGAAACTCGTCCTGGAGCCGAGTTAGTCAATTAGTATTTAAATACTGATCACTGTTTGGCAACATAAAGGGACAAACATATTATTATTCCACTGAAGAAGACAAAATTGTAGTCGAACATTCATACAAGTTTTTGAATCGAATCAACGGAGGTTTGTGTCGAGGTATTCAAACCCAGTTATCCTATCACCTTCCAAGACCATCTAGAAGCTGAACGTTGAACATCGATGTGTGCGTCAAAAGGCTTATGGAGAAGGCTAGAAGGCCTATTGGTGATGTGAACACTCGCAGCTGCGTAAAGCGGCGGCACAGTTTCGGCGAAACACGAGCTTTTGGATAATACTCACGTCGGGATTACAATTGAAGTGTCTACATACATATTCACATATGGGCCTTTTCAACTACGTACAAATGCTTACAGGTATTAGAACAAATTTTGGAAAGATATGGTTATGAAGTCCCACCCGATAGACACAACCGTGTTGGGGTTGGAGTTTGGGTTAGGGCCAGAAATTAGTGGTAGGGGCAAGGAGTAGGGGTTAGGGTTGGTGGTTAGAGTTAAGAGCTACGATTAGGGTTAGGGTTAGAAAAACTATTTCTAAACCACGTGAAGTACAACCGTACATTCCCAATAGCTTTTCGTTTGCGGACAATTACTTGATCTCATGGCGTGCGCGTTCCCCAGCCCCACCTGTAAAAAGCCCCTACCACCACCGGTCCCCTATTGCTGGTGTTTGGGGTTTGTTTAATTCAAAATGGGACCAAAAAACAACATCTGATCCAAATTTATAACGAAAATGCATTGTCAGCGGTTACCGATGTCTCGAAATCCATTTATCTATTTCTTATGAATGGACCATGACTAAAGAATAAATTTGAAAATCAGTGATTTACAAAATAGCCAAATTGCTGAAGCCATCAACCGTTCTTTTGTCAAAAAACTATCTGTGAAGACTCAGATATACCTAGAAGTCTGGAGCACGATCTCAAGTTACTCCATTAAGCGCAAAATTACAATACGACCCAGGAAAATTCCAAAAAACCGTTCGGCTTGACTGGTGAAAAAAATTGTTTTTGTTTAAAGAGAGAAAAAATTAAATAACGGCAAAGTAATGCTTTTTAACTTGGCTCTCCAACGTCACTGAATGTGTATTTGTGGGTCTGCCGATACTATGGGTAAGACCTACGTGTGCTTGAACAGACAAACTGAGAATAAGACTGACCTCTATGGGTTTGTTTCACATTAAATATATTTTCGAAGTCCCCAAATTTTGGCGCACGGGATCAGTATTTAACCTCCAGCGATTGTGCGAGAAGTTTTTAATGTTCAGATCATTTGGGTGATGTTGAATTACGAAATCGTTCTAGCAGCAAAGCCCAGCCTAGTTTCATCTACAAATATATTTGGAAAATCTCGCCTCTAAAAAATAAAAGCACATTCTACAATAACTTATGTGTTTGATTAGAAAACAGAGACACCAAAAAGTTACAATTTTAGTATATGAGGTCACAATGTCGTAGTTATACTAAAATAATGAGTATAAACTCATTTTAATACATAAGGCTCTCATCGATTAAACAAACAACGAGGTATAAGAATCAACTTTAAAGCCAGAAAAAAGTGAACTTACTGCATTTTATTTGCTGAGTCTTTACTGGTCTTGGAGGCCGACGATATACCGTCTTCTGTTCTTTCGGACAAACCACATGCCTTATTTGCCTTGTCGAGGGGACTTTCTCCCGTATAAATAGTTCTGAAATCTGTAAGAATACCACCATCCTCTTACGGTGATTAACCTCGACAAAAAATTTGGGCTCAAGCCCTAAATATGATCCGTGCATATCTTAAAACTGTGATTTTTTTTCATAAACAGATGGTATGAATTCAGGCTTTGCCCCCCCCCCCTCTATGTCCATAAGAGCGTTTACTTTTCAAAACCAAGTGTACGAATGCCGGATAATGAAAGTTTGCTCATTGTGATTACAGTGGAATGCCAAATGGTGATGTGAAATAGATTTCTACTGATAGGTAAAAATCAGAGACAATGAGGGGGTCAGCAAGTGGCGTTCGCTACGGACGCAGTTGAGTGCCTCCATTTGATTCAAAGGACCGGCTTGATAGAAGCGAACTAACGAACGAATCAAACGTAAACGCTCTACGTCGCACCCCCAGGTTTGCATAGTAAAATCCAGTTGAAACACTTTCATCGATTAACGATGTAACAGATGGACTTTTAGGCGACCTGTCTGCTTACCCTCCATAACCAACACCTTTAGAATTTCATAGCGGGTCTGTAAGTCATGTTTCGATTCCCACAATGAAAAAAAATGCTGTATAAAATAAAAGTTAATTTGTAACATTCCAGCGGTTCTTTTAGAAATACAGTCTACTTCCTGTCAGGGTTTTCAAGTATTGAATGTTCTTTGGTCAATGGTGAGCCATTAAAGATCTCCCCAACACCACTGTCACCGGTGGATTTAAAAAAATGCGATCGCCGGGAAAATTAGTCAACCGGGCTGGCTTTTCGGATTCCCACTCAGATTGGTCATCGGAAGCCCACTAGAAACAATTTTCAGGAGCCAGGCAAGGGGGTAAAAGACCCACTGCAACGACAAAGAATGTCTGGAGACGTTTACCGAGCTGTGGCAGTTGTGGAAAAAACAACTACGTCGGAGGAACTGGGTAAATACGCCGGGTTCAGATGGCCGAACAGGCATAAGCAGCAGCAGAGAGCAATGACACTAGCTTTCAGGTTGCAACTCATTCGGCGGGAGTCGGCCACACCTGCCTGTTTGACGGGGTCAAAATTCTCAAAAAAGATGTTACTTGCGTGAGCCACCAGCTAACTAGGTCGCAGTTCTCCGGCCTAATATCGATCATCAAGTGCAACAACCTCCCGCACCAATATCTTGTGCTGAGACTTTGCCTGGGCACAGTTATTAGACGAGCGAGCGACAGTCCCAGAGATGGAGAGCCAAACTACCGAGACATTGTCACCCTAGCATCCATCAAGGATGATGAAATCACGGTCGTGCCCTGACTAATGAGCATTTGCCGTCTCCACTACAACCTCAAGCGATGAAGGCAGATATTAATGCTGTGTCCTAAAGATACAATGCACTCCTTGCATCCCATCACTCTTATCCGAGATCATCTCTGATGACGGGCTCGAGTAAAAATCCTAAAAGCCAGGTCAGAAAACGTCTTGGCCCAACAATCGCGTCTTCCTCCGACCTGTTTCCTGGAATTCCCGTCTTTGTATTGATCGATACTGGTGGACTTTCGGATATGTGACTGGTACGAAGTAGGTGTGCGTAGCGGACTGTTCTAAATCCGATTTCTGTCCAATAATTCAAAGCAGTGCACATGGGCATGAAAAATGGCATGCTTGTGTAATCCGTCTCGGCGGAAAAACCACCCTGCATTTTGGTTCAGTTTCTCGTCGGCAACGGTAGGCTGAAGGACCCCAAAATGGCTGTCGGTAGACTGTGGATCGTGTGCTGATGAATGTACCTGCGAAGTCTAGTTAAGTGCTGATGGTTGGCAGTTGTACCCGGGAACGGTGAAACAAAAAACGGGGATCAACCGAGCGTCAGATGAGGGAAATCAGAAATGTTTGCCAGGCGGTAGACTCAGTTGTTCGATGCTTAAGCCCTCTTTCAGGATTGAACGACACGGAATATCCGGCTGAATACTGTACCTACATGCAATAATTATTTTACCCGAAAGTATCGTTTTTTGCTACTGACCGTCTTCGATGCTTTCCTGCATTCTGTCAGCTTACTGTCTGGCCCACTGTCCCCTCCGCCGTAAATCCCCCAATACCACCGCTCTCGCATGACAGGATCCTTAGTATGCCGACACATCTAACTGGGGTCGTTCACTCTACGGGTGTTGAACAGTTATCTCATTCGTTTACCAGGCCCGCTTTTGAATCCATATTAAGCTCAAACGTGCCCGTGCATGTCGCTGGCTGGGTGTTCTTGTTGAAAAAAATCTAGGAATGGTCTGTACTTTCATGTCATTAGATAACCACCAGCAGGAGAATTTGCGTGTCTAGAATGATGTCTCTTCGAGAGGTCTCCTCCTTTTTACCTGCTGTGATTTGAGATAAAGATTTTCGTGCAGAGTCATCGTGCGGCTGACGTTCCGGAAGGCTTGGTGCGATAGCTTTAACCGGAATTTTTATGATTGGCCAAGGTTGCCAGCCACAAACTGAGCGACTTTTTTCTTCTTTCGCCCCCCTGGCCCTTTGGGTAATTGCTTGGCAGGCGTGAGATCCACTTGCGTTATAAATCGTCATCTGAAACCGGGGGTGGTTGAGTCTCTGCTTTATCATCGGGTCAGTCCGTCATCGGACAATGTCTGCTGGGTTTTCTTGAGTTGGCAATGATGAGATGACTATGTTTTGTCAGGAATCGTATTCCCTTTCTCAAAATAACACCCCAAACTCTCACTATTGAAACAGTGAGTACCTGCGTTGCTATCTTGTAGTGTATTATCAGAACAAATTTAGGGTTTCGTCAAGGAGGCAAACACACGGCTGACTGTTAACATAAACAAGCCTGGTCCCCCTTTTCACTACCGCTACCTTGAGCGGGGTGTAACAGTGTCCTTCAAGTTGAACAACGTCCGACCGACACATCTCACTTTCTTGAGCCCCGGAGCGGACAAAGTTAAGTCAAGGCTCCAGTTATAAGGACCTGAATATGCATCATACCTTCTGGGAATGTACCGCAACAACCAATCCTAATTCCACTGCGTAAACACATCACTTCTGTCTCCATCGACTGCATCGAGGACTTCAATACCTATTGCGGCAGTTCTTTTTAGTTCTGCAGATCGGCAGCATGGTGGCACAGTCTTCGTGATCTCCCAGGCTGGGCTGGAATACTTTAAACTTGGCGGCTTCCTTGACGTGTACAAACGACGCTCTCCACTATTTTCGGAATTCTGGGATCAGTTCTGCAGCGTTGGCTGCCCAGAATGCGGTTGGTACATTCGAAGTAAGGATGGCTGCATGTATATTCTGTATGTATTAAGCGGTGCGTTTGTCGTAAAGGACATGAACTTGGTGTATGGGCATGCATTTAATGTCATCTTAGTGCAGTGAAAATGTGTTACTGCCAGTCGGGGACCTGATGCTCACCTGTCTTTAGATGCGCTGGAGTGCTAACGAGATCGCATAACCCCGTTGAGTAAATAGGCTGACGCTTATGCTAGTAATGTCTCATCGGAGTATCGTTCGTATTTTGTTGTATTTTCTAATGAGAAGTGTTGAAAAGCCCTATGAAATTTTCTCGAATATTATCGTGCCATCCATGGGTTCGTTTGCTCGAGCATCTTAGCATCTGGATGATAATCCTGGATACGGAAGTACAGTTGATCGCTTTTTTAAGTTTAGACCAATAGTTTTTCAGCGACACAAGAGAAAAGGGTGTCCTCGAGAACGTATGATGTGATGAAGCATAAGGCGCATTTAAACAGCCAATCAGCTGGTCTCTAAAGCACTCTTCACTTACCGCTGCCTTGTGATCAGGGCGTGGATAATCCTTTTCGGGGATGACAAATGTTGCCTATAAAAAGCAGTTATCAGGACTCAAACACATTGACCATTGCAAACGTCGTTAGTGCACAAAAGGCGATTTTTATTATTTCCCCATTAGCCGTGTCTAGTCTTATTTCTCAGACAACAAGAAATAGTGTTTAAAGTGCGCTACCTCACATGCGATATGAGTAAAAGATTAAAGTCATGTCTTTTAGTAGCCAATGCAACCAGACTACGACGGACGGTAGACAGCAGACAGTGAAACAATCTTGCCCTATTTTATTTATGAATAATTACTCGCGCTATCCAACGGAAAAATGTGCGCAAAAATTTTGCGCAAATTTGCACAGAGGACGCAAACTGAAATATTTTCCATGAAGCAGCAAATTGTACGAACCAAACAGTTAAGTAGTATAATATTCACCAGAACTTAGTGAATGGAATGACTTGATTCACGATTGTTCTTTTATCTAAAAACTATACCTCTATGAACTTAGTGAAATATATCGGCGTAAAAACAAGCCTTTTTTCCTGTGAATATAAAATGGTCGTAATCTGCGTGAAAACCGTATTAAGTTGGATAAGTCAAATTAGGAATTCAGAGGATGGAATTATACGCCCTTTTCTGACAGTTTGCACGACAATTATTTAACAGTTCCTCTTTTGTAAGTTTCGTTCCATGCGAATGAACAAACATCAGGTTTATTTTAACAAGAGTCTAAGTTCAGGCTATATGATAGGAATCCCCTAGCAGGCAACTGTGCAACCACTAGCATGTAAGTTAATGAAGGTGCTTACTTGGGCTTCCGGCGAAGATATTTGGGAGACAGAGCTAGCCAACTTCTGACAGTTCTTTAGAAGGTGAAGAAAAAATCCCCTTTTTATTAAAACGCATGGGATCTGGGTAAAAATATGCCGCTGATACGTCTTGCCACGCGTGTGGCCGCAGGCTTCTGTCAAGCTCGACCAGAGTTAACAGGGTATCATTGCTTTTTGTTACTATTTTCTACAGGCCTTTGCAACTTGTAAGTAGACAAGAGAAGACTGGAAAATGAACGCTGAAAATACTGACCTGTGGTGATGTGTACTGAACTTGAACAGTACTGGCAACCAGCTCAATCTTCGTCTGAAATGGGTTCAAGGTTTGTAAGAAGGTATATGACTTAACGCAAGTAATTATTGCTAAGTCGATCTAATTTAACGTTTTCCAATAAAAAAAATATGAAAACGGTTTTTAATTGGCAAACAACTTTTAGAGCGTCAGGCCATATCTAAAACAAACTGCCTTGTACCTAACAAAAGCAAAAGGGCGTTCAAAATCCCTTTTTCCAAAGGTAGACCGACATAATAATGTGATTTTTGAGGTTTGCCATATGGGCGTTAGCATAGCTTTCAGACAGGGAGGATAACGCCTTCGTTTACAGGGCAAAAAAGACTTAGCTGAATGAGCAGAATGAACAGGTACATGATCATATAAAATTAATGGCCATTGCTATATTCTAACTAAACGGAAGAAAACGAGTTATTCCACTGTGAAGTTGCACATTGGTCCGGGGTTTTCCATCCCCACGGCCAACTGGCAAATAATTTACGATCGAAAGTTGCCAATAGACATGATGTAGGAGGTTGTGATAGTTACTTCTGGTCCATTGGATCTCATCAGTCAGCAATACGCATACCAGAAAGGATCGGGGTATAAACGCGGCCTTCTAGGCCACTGGGTGTTCAAATGAGTGTTCTGATATAGAGCCACGGATCTGTGGTAGACCCCGGCTGTGCCGCGCATTTATGACGTTTAAGAGATCAACCGAACATATGTTTGAATCGCGGTTATCCAGTATACCATAAACGGAAAATGGCAACGTCTATGAACAGTGATCCGGCGTCAACTTTTTGGAAAAACCGGCTGTTTTGCCTTCCAAACTTAAGATAGAAATGCGTGGAACGAAACTGGATCTATTTTTTTAAACATAATTTTCGTCTGCTTTTGCCTTTGTAAACGACAGCCGAAATGGAATGAACATTAGGGGTTTCAGAAATTTGGGAATTTGCTAGGTACTTTGACAGTGAGGCGAAGCGTTACGATGCCACAGTCTCCGAATCTGACATATCGCTAATGCTTTCTGCCTTCCGATAAAATTCAGTGCATGGCGTTTCATACACTATGACCTAATTTCCGGTCAAAAAGGAATAACGGAAAGTATAATTGTTCTTCAAGATCTTTTAACTTTGATATTTCAATGACATCCTAGTGAAGACGATTGGTTGAAAGTTTTGAAAAATTTCGATGACAGGGTTTAAGATGATACGTAAAGACGATATGATTCCGCACAGCGGCGTCCAGTCCTTATATGTACGGGTTATTTCGAATGTAAATGTCATCTTCGAAACCTAGGTCTTTCTCGCAAATTCATCTAAAACTGGCCCTGAAACATAGTGCTATTTTCGATGAGCAAATGATAATAATGGGTTTCTTAAATTAGCGTTCATTATTTCACCTAATATGCACCGAACTTTGCTAGCAAAGCAGTCTACCAGAATGTGATATTTTCGATAGATTGACAAGCTAGTGCACCAAATGCAACTTAAGACTGGTTTAGTCAGCCAAATCAACCGCGCAGATGTCTCCTTATGATTGTTAACCGGTTTTCAACAATTTATCCAACCAAAATCTCTCAGTCAGCCGCTACTTACCCAGCTACTGTTGGAAATTACTTTTTACAGGTTCTCCTATAGTGGGTCAATTTTTCTATCTTTTTGGTGACACTGGATTCGCTATTAAGTCATCTGTCGGACTTAGTTTACACTGGACCAGGGGCCCCTATAATTTGTCTGGTTGCTATCCTATTCTTGTCCACGTCTGCCAATGCTAAAAGCAATTTCCCAGATAAATCTTAATTCGGTTGAAAACATCCTCTTACTTTTGAAGTCCGTCACCGACTAGGATTCATTAGCTCGCATAACTTAGTTTCAGCGAATGAAAGTTGACAGTTTTTGGCTTGACTGATTGACGACTGCTCGCCAAGATGAGTTGCTTAAAAGAAAAGAATGAGCTGCCGCGTTTTCACGGTTTACAACCCGCTCTTATTTCTGCGACTTGCATATAAGTGCTTACGTTTTTACACTCCGTGAAATTGGCACTCACTCTCCGAAAATGCTGTTGATTTTTCTATGTCAGATGTCGTATTGCTACATAATTCTTCTTCTTCTTCTTCTTCTTCTTCTTCTTCTTCTTCTACTTCTACTTCTTCATTCTCTTCTTTCTTTCTTTTTCCTCCTCAGTATAGTCACGAGTGTTTTACAGTTGTGGTACTCAAGGGGGCAAAAATGGGTGTTTATCCTTCCCAACCTCCCGTACCTCGCGGACAAAATAAACAATTTCCCCTGCACCCCCTTATTACATGAGCACACTTAAACCTCGTTTAATGTTTTTTTTCCTGTCTAACACAATAATATAATGGTGTGGGACGTGGTCTTTCCAAGTTGTACACTAACCTCCAAATGGCGCGGATTGTAATTTAAGTAAGGTAGAAATTTATTTCGCTAAATCGAAAAAGACGATTTTGAACGAATTATGTCTAGCCGGAAACTGTGGAACATTATATAGAAACGTCTGAAACCGTATCGATCTGTACAGTGGCACCTTAAAACACTTACTATAAACGCTAACCGGCCCAAACCGGACGGAAATGTGCACAGCAAGTAAATTCTTTAAAAGAGCAAGATAACTACTGAAGATCTTATAATTCCAGGACAGAAGGTCAGTAACATTGGTCGTAAAGTGTTCCACATATTCGAAGACATTCAGTAACATAGACAGGTGATAATACTATGATCATTTTAGCAAGATTTTCGTTTTTTATAAAAATACTAGATTATTGAGGAATTTTTGTTGCATGCTAGGCTGAAACGGCACTAGCCCAGCACTCAGAGATCAATCAAAAATTTTTTATTCCGCCTTTTTATCATACCGTGTCGGGAGTTTGAACCCCTGTGAATTTTCGTAGTGTTTATGGGAATCGATCTGAATAAAGACCACACATATGTAATACGCAGCATGAGCATATATAGGCTCATGCGGGACAAACGGTCTTTTTCAGTTAAAGAGGGAAAATGCTGCATTTTCCCGGTGGCCTTGTTTCTTACCCCTTGCAGGTATATATTTTTGTCCCAGACGGGGTGAAACTCGACCATTATGCAATTATAGCGTAGACACTTTCTGGCGTCCCCATTCTTTATGTTTTGAAAATGATATTTCACATTTATCAGTCTACAGTGACTAATATAAACTCAACTTTCAGTATGGCTGGCCAATGGTAAAAAGCAATGCTTATGGCTGGCTGTGAATTCTACGGCTTTTTTCTTTAGGGAACGAGCCCTTAAATGTTTTTTTAAAAAATTCGATAAAATAAGCAGCCAGAGTTCAAAAGCTTTACGACCAAACAGGACTTGATGTCAACTGATAAGCTTTTCTATACTATTACGTCAGGGATTTTTTTTCACAAAATGGGGCAAATATAAAGGATTTGTAGGTGTAAACGCACGTGCTACATCGCGTTCTTGAGAATACTTTAGTTTAACACAAATAAAGCTTACTAGTTTGATAGCAACGGATCTCTTTGAAGACAGAACATTGCCTAGATCTAACAGTTCAACTTCAGTGCATAATTTATCGTATTTTGATGGCAGAAAACAGCCACAATAGACTCGGGCTAGAAATAATCATCTTTTAATTGTCTAAACATACATTTGCAAAATAGTTGTTGCAAGGCAATCATTATTTTACCCCTTTACTCTACTAAGAAATTCGTGAACTAACTTGGGGAATATCATTGAGAATCATGCTTTATAGGCTCAGTCCAAGAGGTATCATGGATATAGGAGGTTCATTTGGAACGATTTATTCCACGATAGCGCATTAAATTCTGAACTGAATAGGGTTATCATCGTGGACGTTGAATATTTATCAAAAAGCACACGAATAAAAATGAAGAACCTACTGATGGACTAAATATCTCGTCGCCTTGCCATGCAAACGCAGAATATTGTTAATACAGACTTGTGTGGGGCTTTTAGTTATTATTTGCGCACGGCAAAGCATTCAAATGATCGTTAATCCTCAACACCTACTAAGTTTATAACACTTTTATTACGTCAGCAATTTTAATTAGCGTTATTAGGACAGTGGCTTTTGAAACGAGAATGCCAAAATGTTATTTATCGTACCTCATTTATATTCTTTCCTTCGTCCGTTTGTAAATGCAGAGAATTCTGGGACCTCTTCAGTTGTATAATGTAAAAGGATAAAGAATTGGTATAGTATATTTTGTGAAGCAGGGTCATCCTGATGGTGACTCAACATAATGCATATTTCACATTTAGAATTTTAACGACGCCAACAGCTTCCCTGGACTCACCTTTCGTATGTTATGAAAGTATAGAAGTGGCCTTAATCGGCTAAGCCTGGGCGAGGTCTAAAATAGCAATCAAGGATCATCCTTTAATGGATTTCCAATTTTTGTTGACATGTACTCAAGTCCGGTAAACCGAAGTATAGCGGTCTAGCTATCCTATAATGCGGAACTGAGTGGACAGTTCTGCTGTTTACACAAACAAATGCATTTGTTTAAAATGCAACTGGTGTGTAAGGCTAAAAGTTCATTGAACATTTTTAACGTTGTGGTGTAAAAGAGGCAAGTAAATGCATAATCGAGCTCATTAGTAGTTTGCTGTTGCAAAGATATTTTAAATTAGTTAGCCACATGGGCAAAAGGTGTAGATATTTTCGTGCATGACTCATATGGTTTCTTCTTTGCTTGCCGGTGTTAAAACTTATTCTATTAATTATTTGGATCCAGTACTGTTGTTAGTCCTTGGCAAAACTGTTTAAAATGAATATATTCCAGTCAATTAGTGTAAATATTTATTAGAATCGTTTCTAAAGATAAAATACTTAAATTAAGGACGTAATAAGGGAGTGCTATAGGAACCTTTATTAGAAGGAATGAGTGACGACCTTCAGTTACTGAATTCGTTTTTATTTTACTTAACCAAAATGAAACCAATTTATCTACAACATCTCAGTGTCTACCATTATCAAATAACAAGTGTGGCGAAACTGAAATCATTCGTTTTAACTTGGTCCCCTATGGAAACAGATACAAGGCCGCAGCGGTTTATTTATAATGTTACGTTTATGGCTGCAAACACTTGCGTAGGATTGGAGCCCATGTGTAGTCTGAATCGCATGTAGTCCCTATCAAACAATAGGATTCAGCTCACTTCTCATCTACTTTCCATCAACGCATGAATGAGCGTGGAAGGACTGAGCGCGATTAAATCCGGCTCTCAGTTTGCAAATTGTAAAAAACGAACGCATTTTAGAAACAATCATGATGAGCTGACAGTTGTTTCGGTTGACGAGATGAGGACCTCCACCTCAGCACCGATAACCTGACTGAAATGGCTACCCCTGGAAGGATTCTTTACGCGCGATCAATAATGCGAGACCTGGCATGCCTGCTGGCAGGGGTCCTGCTGTCCATGGAATGCGCAGACCTGTTGCCTAACTAGGGCAGTTCTGTGGTCGGGTCCACATCTGGCCTTCTTGTTTTATAGTGTCGTTGAAGTATGGGGATTTAAAAATATTCCCCCCTCCAGTGGAACACGACGGACTTAAATTCTATACGTCCTTTTTAGAGATGCAGATCAGAATTTTATATGACGAATATTCTGGCTCTGATTAGACAGTGTTGGGGAAATTCAGTCAACCAGGAATTGACTCAATAAACACAGATGTTATTTGGAAGACTTTTCTTACTGCCCACACGTTCATTGGCGCAAGAATTCGTCCTCAAAATTCTCGGCTTCTAGTAAAGAAACAGCATATGCAGCAGCTGTAGAAAGCATGTCAGTCGCGCAATGGAAACATCCAAACTATAGAGGATGGTTTGGGGGAGCAAGAACACATAGATTACTCATCCTGGGGATTCGCAGTTACGCTGCTTTTTGCGACTTTAGTCAACGGGACTTGCTCGCGGGCGAGTCATATTGACTATTGAATTAAACTTCCTTTTAAATTCACAAAGCATAAATTGTTTGCAGCCGATCCTTATGTCTCCTCATGCCATGTATTTTTGTTATTCCGTGTCAGCGATAATGAAAGGGCTTTTACCGGTGAGCAACAAAAACGCGCATAGGCTACTCCGTAATATACAAATTAGCATTTTTAAAAATGCAAAGACAAGGTATTCCGTTGCAGCTCATGTCTGGTAAGTTATAATTGAAGTTTGGTTTAATTTTAACCTTTAAAAACGAACTTTTTCAGACCATAAAAGTTTTATAAATCACATTGTTTGTTTTTTGATGTTGCTCACGTTTCAGAGTTAACAAAGACGATATATTCTACAATCTTCTTCAAAGTCGCACGCCTGAATGTTTAGTCCAGTAATTTATACAGTTGGCAAGAGATCGACAAACGCGGACTAAATAACAGAACCGCGTTAATTAGATTTAAATAATATCAAAAAGACTAGTCCCTATGTTTATCTTTTTTTTTCGTCCAAGTGCTTGCTGGAAAATGTTTTGCGGTCCTGTCTGCTAACAATGATCTTAAAATTCAGTGCAGATTTGTTTTAACGCATGGTAAGACCTGTTGACTGTTAGATTTTTTCCTCCCATTTAGTTAATATGATTTTGATTTTCTCGACTTGGTAAAACTGCTATGTTACAACATTTTTAAAGGAATTAACGCTGTCTTTTGCACACTTTTTGTGCGTATCCTCGTGCATCTATTTCAAAAACCCCTGCAGCAATGTCACTTACGAGAAGTGCGTTTATGTTTACAGGCGCCGTGCCCGCATAAATATTTTTCATATCTACTGGAAACACTTAAAAGATCTTCTTACAAAAGACTGCCAGAGTGTAAATATTTATATTTTTCCATTTGAAGAAAAACTTCATTGTTTAGTCGAAGGTTTCCTATAAAACCTAAGTACAGTCCCGCCATTCAAGGTATATCATTAAAGGCACTTAGCAGTCACTTTTGAAGATGACATGTTCAAACTCTTTGAGATACATCAATGTATAGTCAATTTGCTGTTAAGCTTTTAATACCCACGGATTTTTGACAGTGTGCTTACTTATTTTCAGGTAGAGTTTAGGAGAAAAGAAAAAAAGCGCAATGATTTTAAATACCCTACTTGCGTTTGGGCTTCTATAAATCCAGCCGACCTTTTAGAAGCCAAATCTGATTTTTTAAAAGTAGAAAATGGGTATTTTACCAACAAGTAGTTTTCGAGAATTCTAACAATTTACCTTTTTACCTGTCAATCATATTTTCTGATACATAAAGGATGTCAGGATAAATAAATTTCAGGGTATTTAAATTTTAAAGGGTAAACGACACCCAAAAACACAGTTGCCACCTCTCACATAAGAGGGAAATGCGCTTTTCTGCTCTCTCCCTACATGGTCCGAGTCTGAGACTATCGCGGTGAGCTAAGTGCACTGGCTGGGGAGGGGGGGGGGTTGCCAAATGACGCCTCGACCCAGTCCATGCAGTCGGCCAAGTTGTGTGAGTTTGTGTGGACGGGTACACTGGTGCGCTGAGAGCAAGACTGTCGCAGCTTCGTCTTAAAATGGCCTGTTGCATTCTCACGCATGTGAGGAGTGTGCATTTACTTAACGTGTGACGGCTTTCAGTTGCTGACTGAATGGCTACGCAGACTTTGAAGGGTGATGGCCCAGGGCTGTGTGTCAACTTTCTGGCCCCTAAGGACTTATGCGTCTGCTGCGTCATGATTTAGTAAACCATGGCACCCGCAGTCTGATGTGCGCTTGGAGTTCTCTGACACCTGGTTCCTTGCCGGTACGTGTACTCGTGCTCTCGTCGAGTACACATGTATGGTGCATGTTTACCCAGTTAACATCGTCCTCTTTCTGACCTGGTATGGTGCTGTTGTTATTATTCAAACCCTTGGTCAAGTGTTCATTGTGGAACAGATTGTGCGATGACACGCCTAGGTGCGGATTCGGCCGTGCCAGCCACCTGCGTCTTTCCTCACATCCGGTCTTCTTGTCTCCGTTTTGACATCAGCTCAGGTAGGTGAGGGGAGAGTGTGGTAGATGCTGTGCAAGTCTAATCTCACCTCCGGTTTTCTTAGCTACTCCCTGACACCGGACTGAGGTGGTGGAGGAAGATAGAATGCGTTAAATATTGCGCAAGTCTACTGTCGCTCTTAACCAACTCACTTGCAAGTCACCGTGCTGTGAAGCACAATGTGGACATCGTCGGACACTACGGTAGAATGGTCGGTTATTAGGAATTTTGGTTTAGAATTTACTATTTAAACAATGGGGTAACGAGAACCGCTATGCGACTAAGCTTGAAGGCACCAAAGGAAGATCTGCAAGTCAGAACACTTATTCTCACTTTTGCCCTATGCTTAATGACAGTTTGACTGTTGCAAACGCCAAAGTCCAACGTGTACCCTCCAGAGTGGATGCAGTACTGGCGGCTTGCACTGGAAATACTTTATAGTGATGGCAGGCTTCGGCGGAGTCTACCGCAGTCTCTTCTCAGTCGTACACCGATTGCAAAACAGATTCAGGATGGCCGGAGGTGACATCGGACAAATTCCCTTAGATAATTGACAAGGCTAGGCAGGGCGTCTGAAAGCGACATACACGAATCGCGTCTAAAATAGATCGGTGAACAACACTCTTATCTGATATGCATCTGTGCTAATCCCCATATTTTTTGCGTACTAAGGCAGCAAAACTACAGCCGTCATTGCAATGCCTAGCTGCGTCAAGGTCACTTGTCGTTACTGAGGGCAGTTCGAGACGCGCTGACCTAACTGACCGAGAGCAGAACACGTACACGCCGACAGTTTAAGGGATTCTTAAATCGCGTTACCTAGCTCGTTTAACACCTGAATTTGCTTTTCACAAGACTATGACCGCAGATGACACCACAATTTTACCTTCAAACTCTCAGGCATAAACAAACATGGTTAGCTAAGGACTTGGTTTGGTTAACAGCCACTCGTATCCAAGGCAGCAACTCGGCGACAGTTTGTCAGTCGTGACCAGCTTTGTCCACTGCACGAGCTAGTGCAGGATGAAAATAGGCTCGGTGACTTGCGTAGTATTTACCACATTCTCTTCCCACCCCCCCCACCTGGGCCGGTCGTCATGATGGAGTCAAGAGGACCCGGGACAAGAGATGGCGGGGGTAGCTGGCACGGTGAAAACTCAAGAAATGTCAGCCGAAATTCCGGAATGCGTTTTAGTCTCCAAATGATCTACTAAGTAAGGTTGTAAAACTAGTCATTGTGCAGCATACTATAATAATTCAGTTACCTCAGACTGCCGGCTTTCGAAAGAACTTCCTTTTAGCTGCATGCAAAAACTACCCTCTGCAAAAAATGACTTCTTGCTTAGCATGCATTTTGTCTCTTTGATTTTCGATGCCCTTAAAAATTCAATTATATTTCATGGAAAATGTACACGAAATTATTCATTATTTTGCATATTAGGTAGAAATTACGCCTTGTTCCAATTTTTTCTCAAAGGAAAAGTTTAATTCGGTTTTAAAATCTTCTAATTGTGAGATTTTATAATACCGTCAAATGGCCTTTCATAAAACGTCATATCCCCACGTTTAACAATGTGGCTTGCAATGTTAACAATATGGCTTAAATCCACTGCAAAATGTTGTGAATTCCATATGGTCTAATTTTAATATAGTAAAGAAGTTTATAGTTTTCCGTACTCGGAAAATATACGCTTGGAGTTTGGAAAACCTAGATAGAATTGCAACGGCAGGTCGGGTTCAAAATTATTCGAGAATTAATAAAGTTTTTGAAAATCGAATTATACCCTTGCTTTGAGTATAAAATTGGTGGAGGATGCTATTTTCCATCGAATGAGCAAAATAATGAATAATTTTATGCATGTTTTTTAAGGACATCGAAAATAAATGAAAAAAATACATGCTACGCAAGTCGTCATTTTTCACAGAGCATAGTTTCTGCTTGTAGCCAGAACGAATTTCGTTTGAGAGCCAGTATCATGAGCTAACTGAATTATTATAAAATTAAACTACACAATGTTTAGTTTATAACCCTACTTTATTACTCTTTTCGAAACGAAAACGCATTTTGGAATTGCGGTCGTGATTTAGCGCACTTACTGTAGGCCCCCTGGTCCACAACGGTCATTGACTAGGACTTTATATGCAAAAAGCAAATCGGGGAACAACTCAGATTCCAAATGTGACGGCGTTAACCGTCAACTGGGTCTGTAATCACTCCCCAAATGTTGGCGTTTGCTTTAGATGCGCATTCCTGATAACGCCTGCCAGGCTCCGTGATGATCCAGGGCATCTACCGTGCGGTCTGTCTTGGGACAGAAACTCGGAGGTTCGCACACAACAAACCCTAGTTTCGGTGTCTTCTTTCCTCTCCTGTCAGTCGGGACTTGGCGCACAGTACCCCACTACTCGAGCCACGGATAAATGGAAAACTTCGTCAAATGTACCTTTGAGCTCGCCGCAAGCTCGGGAGCAGCACTCTTCACTTCTATATTACGGCAGACTGCTTCCGGTCGGTGGAATTCACTGCTTCCTTTCACCTGAAAAAGCAGGTTAAGTAAACGTGAAAATTACACGTCATATAGCTCTTATTCAGCATACTTCATTGTGATCGGACAAAAAAGACGCTGAGGACTTTTTTAGAGTTGTCATAACGCCGAAGTTTTGCGCGTGAAATTTAATTGCAAGACGAAAGTTGGAACATCCCCAAAGAACACCCATGTTCGCATACATTCATCCCCATGGCTGACGAGTCATCAACAGGGGTTGAGTCCCCCGGTATTCTGGTGGGTGACAGCTGAGGCTTGTTCCCTAGGCGAACAGGATTCGTCTATTTGTCTAGCTGAGGTCACCCGGCTCATTCACAATAACGACGCGATGTGGAATTTAGCTGAAAAACCGAGAGGTTGTCGGACCTATGCAGATTTTGGCCGTCAGCGGTAGTGCGAAACGTCACTGAGTGCAATTAGACTACCCAACAGGAGCATGTAATGCCCGATGGGCAAACTGCCTCTGACTCTTTATTTGCTGGATTTCTATCGAAAGAACATGTGAGTAATTACAACATCCGATCTGCAGTCAATCACCAAGGCTTCGAATTAAACAGGTGTCCCATTTGCGAATCTCAGCTATTGCGATGGCATCCATGCGAAGTGACTAGTCTGGATCCGCCAGCGCAGCACCCGAAGCTACCACGACGTGTTAAAAGTCGCGACATTGAAGGTTTCCAGCTAACGGGATAACTCGTCTCCTTTCAGGATGGAGGGTCCTTTTCGATGAAGCCACTCATGTGTGATAGACGCAAAAGCACCGTTAAATTTTGCCAGACTCTACGCCCTCGGCCACCTCCGATCGTCCTGAAATTGTCTGGCCATTAGAGGTAGGGAGGATAGAGTACGGTAACTGCTACGAAAGCCTGTCTTACCACGAAATAATGCACGCACAAGTCACCGTGCTGCACCCTGTCCGCGAGGTTCATGATGAAAGTCGTGGCTTGCGACGGACGAACCGTTGAAGGTAAGAACGAACGACTCGTCTACCCCATGGGAACTTTCGCAGAAGAACTTAAACTTTTAGGGTTTTCGAGGCGTTGCTGTCGGCATGCGACTAGATACTGACTTCATAAACAGAAAAGACCTTCTCTGGCAAGATCGGCGAAACACGCGTATCTGGGCTTTTAGCTAGTAGCTGTGTTGCCAGCACGGTAAATAATTACACAATTCTAAACTCCAGCAGGCCTTTAAATGTGTCCGAATGAGCAGGACCTGGTGAATGGGAGTCCGAAATGGGCACTTTGAGGCATTTACAAGACACCTCCTTGACAATGAAATGCCGCTGCGCGATCTGTCAATTTCACTGACAGGAATGGGTTGGCCGTTTCGAACACCCCCGCTTACCACATCACAGAGGGCATCACGTCGCTTGGTGCACCAGCGACTGCCACGCTAAAATCCGACTAAATCATAATCTGTACGGCAGACCATCTGACTTCTAGATGGGCGCGATGCGCTCTCGAGACACTGGCGGTGACGATGGGTCTGACCGTGCCCAGGCTAGAGCTCAGTTATGGTTCGGACTACACGCTGTCCAAACGCCATAAACAGCAGAAACGTACGGTGCGAACGCCTGATACTGTCCCAGGTCTCCGACCACGTTGTTATTCGGATGTATATATCGGTGGCCTCTTAGGAGCCTGTAACTGATAAAAAATGACTCTAACTGAAGCGAAATCCCCAAAGTGAGTTTTATGAGTTGCCACGCAGCCACAAACCTTGCCGGCGGAGATGGGAGTCCGGTGCAATAATCTGAATGATTTATGCTCGACTCGTCGCCTACCTACGTGTCTACCTAAACTTCAAAAACCTGTTTTATCAGAACGCACGATCTCCCCAACATGGACTCTAAAGTAAAATTAAGGAAGTGCTTGAAAGTGGTTCAGGTAGCCGGAAAGCCACGTTAAATATTTCTGTTGACTCGGTCCCTTAGTTCGTCTGTATCAGTTATCCATGGCAGAGCGGTGATAATGTCATTAGTTGACGAAGGCCTGCAATAGAATGAGGCACCCGCCCAAATTCAAGAGTGCGCAGGACCGGCGCACTCAGAGGGAAGTCAGTTTGAAGTCGCTCTAGTGGTGAAGCCCTGCACTTACGCATTTCTGGCTGTCCAGTCGAGGTTAAAAATGTCAACCCCATTGTTTTGTTTTTCCTGCATTGTGAATTATAGATCCGGTAAGGCTTGGATGCGGTCGACTACGCGAACATCGCGCGTCAAGTACAGTAGGTGGGCTAAATCATGAAATGTCAACCGAAATTCCCGAATGCGTTTTCGTTTCAAAAAGATTAACTAGGTAGTGTTGGAGAATCAATCAGCAAGAACCGTAATTCTATATTAAATCAGCTACACCAGGGTGCTGGCTTTCGAAGGAACTTCTTGTCGGCAGCACGCAAAAATGGCATTCTGCAAAAAAATGGCTACTTATGTAGCATTCATTTTTCTCACCGATTTTCGATGCCCCTAAATGTCCAATTATATTTCATGGGAAACATGCATAAAAATATTCATTCTTTTGTTCATTCGGTAGATTATTACGTCTCCTTCTAATTTCATACTCGAAAAAAGAGTATAGTTCGGTTTTCAAAAGCGTTTCCAAATCCCGAATAATCTTGAACCCGCTCTGCCATTACCCTTGGATTCAGGGTTTCCAAACTACAGGCCGTATATTTTCAGCGTACGGAAAACCACACATTTCTCTACGGTAATAAAGCAGGACCATATAGGGTTCATAAAATTTTGCAGTTGATTTGATCGATGTTGTTAACTTTACGAGCCGCATTGGTTACTGCAGAGACCTGATGATGTATGCACGGTCATTTCACGGCATTTAAACGCCCCACTATTAGAAACTCTTTTTAAACCGAATTATACGCTTACTGGAGTATAATGTTGTAAGAAGACGTAATTTGCTACCGAGTGAGTAATTGAATGAATGTTGTTATGCATGCTTTCCATGAAATATGATTATATTTTTAGGGACATCGAAAATCAATGGGAAAATTGCATGCTATTTATGCAGTCATTTTTTACAGAATATAGCTTTTGCATGCTGTCGTAAAGAAATTCCTTCCTAAAGCAGGCATCCTGGGGTAGTTAAATGACTAATTCTCCAACTTTACTTAATCAATTTTTCGAAATGAAAGCGCATTTGGGAATCTCGGTTGACATTTCATAAGTTAGCCCACCTACTCAATGTGCAGCAAGGTTGAGGGCAGAAATGTGTGTGAAAACGCGAATAAACGGCCGCGAATACCAGAACGCTTCAGGAAGCATTTAAATGGGAAGCAAATGGAGTACACAAACGTCATGTGAATGCTTCGATCTGAACCCTATTGCGTCAACGATTTAGTCCAGTTCATTCACAGAAACTAGAGTAAAACAGGCACATCTGATGATTCAAATATCTTGGGGCATAGACTATAAACGTCGACTCACTGCAATCTCCTCATTAGCGTTTTTATGTGATTGGATGTTTTGTCGAGAGGCCGCCTCTTGTGGGTGAAAGTCTGAAATCTCATAGAAGATGCAGGATGAGTTAAAACGGTGAAGAACAGGGGGAGTGTGGGAAAATGGGTGAAACATAGAAGAGGCGTTCACCTGGAGAGCTTTACGCGAGTTTTCCTACCCATCTGGAGATACAAGTGAGTCCTGCGCTCAGCTCTCATTATCTGACCCATTGTGTTTGCTACGCAGGTCGCCAGGTGGGGGGTGGTGATCACGTGTCAAGGCGTGCGCAAGATGTCGCGGCGTCCACCGACAGCTTAGTCATCGGGCACATCAATTGCCCACGCCTGCCCCCCCCCGTCTGGTTTCGCGAACCTCCTGCACAGGGGACGGCGTGAAACAGGCGGTGTAGGAGGGTGGGGTAACACAGGTCATACTGAAATAGGCGTCTGATTCACTCCTACAGTCGGCGTTGGTGACCTCCGTACCAAGGCATACAATGAGAGCTGTGAGCAGAACTCGGCAACGATCGAGTGAATGACCCCAAACACACACACACACACACACACACGATTAGCCAAAGGTGCCTGTCTTAGGGAAAAGGTGGTAATGGGAGTTTTACGGGCGTGGCCTATGTATGCATAGAGGGAGGAAAAAATAAGTATAGATAATGCACATACATATATATACTGCATACAACGATCGCTTCTCAACCCTCAGAGCTGAGGTCATTGTAAATAATGCACCAGGCCGTCGATAACAGCCGACCCAATTTTGTACGGTGAAACACCAGAACGAAAACATCGTGTAGGGCTAAAACCCACTTAAAAATGTATAGTAGGTATCATTCGTATGCCACAGATGCGTGGGGTCGGTAGGATGGTAGTTGGTAGCCCTGCCCACTGATTCTACAATTGCACTTACTGGCTCGATTTCAAGCTCTGTGATTACGTTCTCATTATGTCTGGGAGTGCACGCGCAGAAGCCCTGTCAGGATGACTTTCTTCTTCACTCTAACCGCCCCGAGAACGAGGCGCTGCAAAAATGTCTATATAGACTCATTGAATTGCACCCCCACACGAAAATCTTTAGTAAAGGACGAAAGATTTATCCTAGGCGGATTATGATTCATCATGCTTCTCATTATGCTTTTAATTGCATGCGCGCACTGTGTTACCTGTATCTGATTCATTTTAGAGGTACTATCCTAGGCTGCATACCACAGTACCCAGATGTTACCTGAAGGCATAACCATCCGTGTGCTGCCGCAGTATTTGTAAGGGCATGACCTTTCGACATCTACATTAGGCCCTACAGGTCAGTAGTCCTTTCTGTTGGAGATACTGCACTAGGAAGGACGACTGGATTATTTTCAGGATCCGCGAATAATCTGTCGGCCTATCCACTTGCGGTCCTGCTTTCCTTCGCCTTCTAAGTGACTGGGCTCTGCAAGCAGAACAAAGTGTTACTTTATATACAGAGTGCTAATTCCTCTTTACATTGTATAGTACACCACTCATGTATAGCCTAGATGTGGCCACAGTGACAATACACTATTATTTGCAGATTTTCTCTTCCGCCCAAACATATTTTTCGAATTAAAGTCTTACCCCGCTTGCTTTGTGCCGTCCTGCGTGCCGCTACTTGACTCTCGTGTTCTCATGTCTATTCTGTCGGTTAGAGTACTATCGCACATACTGCGGAATGACCTTAAGACACACTACGTTCTTCCTATTGATTGTTCGCATTCACTTGTTATTCTTTCCAATCTGGGGCAAGGATGCATTTATTCCGCATACCGTACTAATTATCCATGCTTATTTCTATACCCTCCTTTCATTTTTCACCTCATTTAAATTACGCCTCCACTTTACCAGGAGCGTCAATTCCAGGCATACACTACAAGCGCCATTTACGCCTCCACTCATTTGCCCAACCCGTATAGCCCCTATTACCACTGGTTCCGTAAGACAGGTATTTGGGAGTTTTCGGTAATGGGAGGGCTACCATCAAGCCGTGGGGTCCTTCACCCGATCCTTACTCAGGACTCATAAGCCTCCGAAGGCGAAGTCTGTGTTTGAGGAGCCAGGACCCAAATAAATCTTTCCCGGCAAACATCTGTTCTTCTTTTGACATGACATCTGAGAATAGCATTTTTACTACTGATAAAACAAGGGAGGATTTAATTTTACAACCGATATTTTCTTGAGGCATTTTGACTCCCCAGTCTGTGTGGAAACCGAATTCGATGAACGTAATTCATCGGTCGATGAACATCCTACTTAAAGCCCAGTTCAATTTATGGCAAACCTAAGGCCAGCAATCAGTCAGTCAAACTGTCCTCAAATGTTATTTGCTAACGGCCAAATACGTTTTATTTACGCATTAGAAGTGAACTCAAACTCTGGGCGAGATGAGCAGATGCGAACTAAAACACGAGCTGCCGTAAATATTAGGGCAAACGTGACGCATTTCATGTATCCATTTGCGCAGATAAGCCGGAACGTTGACCGTCGCAGAACCATCTATTGTGTGAAAGGCCCTGTGGTGTCTGGAGCATAAGATTATTTCTAGAGCGCGAGCGACTTGTACGGTATCCACAAAGCTCACCACCGAGCTCATCACAGCTGAAAATTGGTGTTGGCACAAAGATTGGCGTGGCGCAAAAACGGCCGTCGTCGCTCGACACTCAAGCGACTGTCTACTAGTTTTCAAAAAGACCTTGCAAGGCTTTCATGAGGGGAGGGTATCTAGTGAACCTAATCTGGGCTGGTGGTCTCTTTCCTGTACATTTGTGCAGTCTGAGAACTAACGCGCCTACTTTAAATGTCCTTCGGCAAATATCTACCGACTGTACTATAGCATAGAAGATGTTCAAGACCATTGGTCATGTTTTGAACCCCTGCGGTTTAGTGTCAGTCACATTCAAACATTCTTCCTGACCCATCAAAATTTCAAGGACGGCCAGCACTTTTATTGACTTGTCCTAACACTCCCGGCCTCATTCTGTCCTCGCGCATTGACCCACGGTGAATCCAGGGGGCGGCCGCTCCATTTGGAATCCGCTTCAGGAGGCTGTTTATTCTCATTATGGTCGATTTCTTCAGCAGAGCATTCAGTCCCCCTTTAAGTGTCCACCAGCAAAATATAACAATTCACGTCGCCGCCTGTGCTACCACCCATGTCTCCTTCCACTATAGGCAGCCTGGGGTGCCAATATAGCTTCCGACAGCCCATCGGCGATCGGTGGCCAGAATCGTCAGAGCTAGAATAATGAATGGGCACCGTAGCGCATCTTTGAAGTAAACAAGAAAGGCAAGGCCGACGCTGTCGTTTGTGAGACCTTGCCATCGAGCCATGTGTATGCGCAAGACTGAGATCAACGGGGTTAGAAGCAAGGTAGTTCCTTCCTAGGTCACTTAAGCTGCGATTGGCCGGAGCAGTAAAAATCAACTGGCCAAGCATCCCAGATGCAATTTTCGGCTAGCAATTAGACGCGGTTGAGTAAGCGGTAGAACTAAAGGTCAGATTTGATTATATAGTTCCACCCAAAGTAAACAAACCCCAGCCACCTGTAATACGGAACCGCTGATAATATGGGTTTTTACAGGTGGAGCCGGGGAACGCACAGCCGACGAGGTCAAGTTGTTGTATGTAGAAGAAATGCTATTGGGGATGCGAGGCTGTACTTTGAGTGGTTGAGAAATAGTTGCTCTAACCCCTAACCTTGATCCTAACCCTAATCCAAACCTCAGTCCCAACAGTGTTGCGCTCATTAGTTGGGGCTACATAACCACATCTCACCAAGCTAAAGTAGTCGGAAGAGCAGCTATCTGAGAAGGCTCGAAATGATCTGAATAACCCTTCATTTGACAGTCAATCTTGAGTAGCCTCTTCCGGTGGCGGTTCCTGGTTGGCAAATTCATTAAGGTCCTTCGATATCCGACGGGAATCAATAAAGATTTCCTCAGATTTTATACCTCGAGTGTCCTTATAAGTTCAACAATTCCTCCACTCGATAACATCTTCGACAACGTGATAATGGGATACCCTATTCGGAGTCCACCGCAAGAGGATGTATATTCTAACCATGCTACAGCATGCAAGGCCCCTCTAACAGCCCTGAGGAAAAAATCTCACTTGTGGATTCGATTTCGTCGTCAGATGTCATAACGACAACAGTAGGAAGTAGTTCTTGATTTGGTCAATGGAG